TTCTCCAAACAAGTTCCAAATGCTTCTCCATGAAAAAAAAAAAAAAAAAAAAAAAAAAAAAAAAATGACGGGCATATTGCCTCTCTCAGCCATTTTCTACCTGCAAAGTTAAGTAAACATTTTCGCAATGAATGTGGTATTAGATTCCGCTTATAACTACTTTTTAAAAGATCTGGGATTGTGTCATTTTTTTTATCTATCTATCTATCTATCTATCTATCTATCTATCTATCTATCTATCTCGTCCTGCGTATGTCAATAAACTACATCCGCATCCTGGGTAAGATGATAAACAGTCTCTTTGCATCTATCTATCTATCTATCTATCTATCTATGTCAGTCTGTTCCTTATCTATCTATCTATCTATCTATCTATCTATCTATCTATCTATCTATCTCAGTCTCTTCGTATCTATCTATCTATCTACCTATGTCAGTCTGTTCATTATCTATCTATCTATCTATCTATCTATCTATCTATCTATCTACCTCAGTCTCTTCGTATCTATCTATCTATCTATCTATCTATCTATCTATCTATCTATCTATCTATCTATGCCCAGTCTCTTCGTATCTATCTATCTATCTATCTATCTATCTATCTCTATCTATCTCAGTCTCTTCGTATCTATCTATCTATCTATCTATCTATCTATCTATCTATCTATCTAATTTTGTTCATTATCTATCTATCTATCTATCTATCCCGTCCTGCGTATGTCAATAAACTACATCCGCATTCTGGGTAAGATGATAAACAACGTCCAACATCAAGGCCTCCGATATGGAGGCATTGGGAAACGCGGATCCACCCCATAATTGCTGGTGTTCCCAGGTCCACCCTGACCCGCGAAGGTTGCACCTGTTAGGGTCCCAGCTATGGGCAAATAGTTAACCTCCAAACTGGTGTCCAAACACTATGAAAGTATAAAAATAGTTTTTAATACCATTAATACTTTTAAAAATTATTACCAGCAATACATTACTAGCAATACATTTTTGGGAAAATAATTATTTCCAGCAATAAAATTTAAAAACTTAAAAAACACATTGACGTGCATATGCCATAAAACAAACCAAACCAAACCAAACCAATCAATCTATCTCAGTCTGTTCATATCTATCTATCTATCTATCTATCTATCTAATCTATCTATCTATCTAATCTATCTATCTATCTCAGTCTGTTCATATCTATCTATCTATCTATCTATCTATCTATCTATCTATCTCAGTCTGTTCATATCTATCTATCTATCTATCTATCTATCTATCTATCTATCTATCTATCTCAGTCTGTTCATTATCTATCTATCTATCTATTTATTTATCTATCTATCTATGTCACTCTGTTCATTTGAAATGTTGAATTTCAAATATTGAATGCAACGGGAAAACAATCTATCATCTTCCCGTACAATGCATGACAATTCATGGATGTGTCGCCCCAGAATTCTGACGTGAAACGGATGGCGTTTCTATCGCTGCTGGCCACAGCCCGAATTATGATTTGGTCGACGCGATTCATGAAAGTCCTTCCAGCCTGTCGTTATTCTCATTAGGATCTAATCCGATTCTTCGAGCATCAGCTCAAGATGAACATTAGAACTGATAGTAGGCAATAAATTTCGACAGATTTTAACGTAAGGTGGATGACTGCGGTAGGCCTGGTTCGCTTGAATTTTCTTTTTTAGGTTCACCTAAGTCACATCGGGGTGGTTTCCTGTGTAGTCTTTACCTGGTTAGGCTAGACCATTTTTGTGTACCTGGTTAATGTAAGTGTCGTTCATCGCCTATTCCCGGCAGCTTCTTTGGTTATGATCCAAGTCAAGATTCCCAACTTTTGTTTTTGGCCCCACTTTTTTTCATCTTAACTGGGTCAGATTTTTTCTTTCCTCATGACCGTATTTATTTTATCCTTCCATCTCCTTTAGCGAGAGAGATACTTGATTTTGTCTAAAGACAGAATACAACAGCTTCTCTTAATTCTTTTGAGGGTTTGATGGCTCAAAGTTAGAAAAATCACCATACAGGAAGTGGGTGGTCATGGCTTGCTACAGATTCTATTTCTTTTTTTATCAGTGAATTGTCAAGATTTATTGTAGACTAGCAGCATGGCCCGGCGTTGCCCGTGCTTGATTAAAAAATAGTACGACTCATATAGCAATCGCTATCACTTGAGTTAAAATATGTTTGCCCTTCCTTGCCTTTAAAGGAGTGCCCTTTGCCGTGCTGATGTTGCTACATGCCTTGCTTCTTGCCTATCTCACACTGCGAATTTTTTCTTAGTTCTATACTAAACATTAAATCTGTTACGAAAAAAAACTAAACAAAATGAACACAAAACGATCAGCTTTAAAAAGGACTCGTAACTGGAAAAAACCGAATGAAAAAAGAATGTTAACAACAAATACTTTTTCACACCCAACCCAGTTCTGCGGAATCAGAATCAATGTTGAGTTTAAGCAAGCGAATGAGCCAATTGGAGTAAAGTTTCATACAGACTTAAATTTTTCCTACTTGTGACAAATGCAGCTATCGATTTTTTGCATGCTAGTTAACATTCGTGTCAGTCAGCTGTTGGCTCTCATGCTGGCCAATAGAATCTTCCTGCCTATTCGTGGCAGCCAGCTATAGGTTCTTACTCTGGCCAGGATAAAATGGCCGCAAACTATATGAAAACTACCGTAGAAGCATGAAAAAATCGATTATTTCCACTATCGATGGGAGTTGGTAATTGCAAAGTCGGTCTTGGACTTCCCGCTAACTTGGAGCATGTGCATGTAAATTTTGGTGCAAATCCGTCGAAAATGCGGCCGTGCATTCGTTACACACACACACACACACACATCCTGCCTTTTATAGATAGAGATAAAATACAATTGTGGCACAATGGGGCGAGGAATGAGCTAAGGCTGGTCATCACTTACTATTTTATTTTAACTAATCAGATTCGCGACCCATTCACTCATTACAATTTGCACATCCGCGAAAAGAATTCATCCATCATCAATGAATCCTCCAATATATCACAATACCGCAATACTCTCAGGGGACTTATAAAAACACCAAATGACATCAAACTTAACAATTATAAAATTCTATATATAAAAATCTGTCGATGATACGTAATGAGAGGAGGGGGGAATGAATCCAAAAACAAAACCTAAATATCAAAATAAATACAAAAAATAAAAGGATAACTGATGTTTTCGTAGTCATAGTTACATTAAATCCAAAATGACAACTGGAAAAAAAAACTTAGTTTTTACCAACGCGTTTCGTCTTCCGACTTTATCAAGGCAAACAAGAAAAACGAAATGTTTTTTGTTGTCTAGATTTATTGTGTTATGGGGTCCTCCTCTTTTTCATATAAGTGGACTCGACCAGAGTGTTACTTGGACTGCTGCCGTTAAATACCCAGAGTCACTCAGTATACAGAGAGTGAGTAGAGATAGTAAGAAGACTGAGATTGTGATTGAGTTGGAGGTAAAGTAATAGTGTGAGGTAACCGCTTGTAGAAGTCAGTTACAAGCACGTAGACTCTAAGAAAGTCCTACTTCGAGACTGTATATATCTATATGTTATTGCTACTAACCGCGTTCCTGGATTTACTAACAGTATTACCCATTGTATTATTGTGTAAATACATTTTATTGCTTATATTTAATTCTTGCGTTTGTCATTCATTAGAGACGGAATTTCATCTCGGAATCCACAACATATTGTATATAAAATATAATTGTGCCCCAAGGCCGTAAATGGTGGGGAATGAGATGAGGTTGATGATCACTAACTATCTTATAACTAGCTAATCAGATTCGCGAACCATTCACTCATAACAATTTGCACATCCATAAAAAGAACTTATACATCATTATTCAATCCTACATATAACCGCAATACTCTCAGGGGACTTACAAAAACACACCATGACATAAAAAAACTATCATAAAAATTATTAACTATATATAAAAAATTTTCGATGATATGGGAAGGGAATGAACCAAAAAAAAACATGCTAAAATATCAAAACAAATTCACAAAATAAAAAGATATCCGATGTTAATAGGACCCGTCAAACCCACAAAAGTATTAAGAGAAGCCGTTGTATTCTGTCTTTAGACAAAATCAGGTAGCTCTCTCGATAAAGGAGATGAAAGGATAAAATAAATATAGCCATGCGGAATGAAAAAATCTGACCCAGTCGAGATGAAAAAAAAGTGGGTCCAAAAACAAAATGCGGCACGTAGTGAGGATCGAACTCATCACCCTGTCGTAACTGTTCCCTGCGAGATAAGCTTGCTAACCCTTACACTACGTCGGGATGTCCTCGCACACCTCCTGTATGGACACTGCATTAAAAAGTCTAATAACTTTCCTCATCACTTTTCGCCTAATTTACGTTGTGTTAGTTCTGTTCAGACATTGGCTATATTTAATCTGCTGGACAGTTTTCTCAAAGATGAACTAGAGACTTCAAGCAACAGAAGTGCGATTCTACAGAAGGATGTTGAGGATACCAATGACCGAACATGTGAACAACGATGAGGTTTTAGCGAAAATGGAAACAAAAACGAAACTTATATTTTCATCAGGAAGAGAGAGTTGAAATTTCAACGGTACATAATGAGGAAAGAGGGCTTGGAAAATCTGATACTCACAGGGCAGATTGAGGGCAGCAGGGACAGACAAAAACAGTTCATAACATACTTGATGAGCTTAAGTAAATGGATGGCAGAACAAGGTTTAGAAATAATAAAATGACAGGATCTATTTAGAGCTGCAAGGTACGGGAAAGTGTGGAGATCCATGATCGCTTACGTCCTGATGTGACACGGAACATATTGTTTTCAGTTATGTCTGCATGGAATTCGTGATCTGCAACATGTTTTGTACATGGGTTTGGATCTAGTGAGTGATGGGGCCAATAATTTTTTTCCGTGAATGTTCCCGAAACCAGTTTCTTGCCACACGGGGACGAGGAGCGTTTTCATCCT